ACAATATTAAATTCACAAACTCACAGAGTGACTTGAGAGTCAGAAGAGGCCTCAGTGTCCCTCTCATCTCACCCATATATTAAAGGAGTCCCTACTCCAACAAGTTGAATCTCATCTTGTTAGAGTTAGTCCAATATTTTAGTCTGTCCAGATCCTATTGGATCCCGATTTTGTCAACCAGTGCATTAGTTATTCCTGCCCTGTGTTATCTGTGAATCTAATGATCCAAGTCATTTATAAAAATATTTAATACAGCACAGGGTCAAACACTGACTGCTGTGGCTCTGCCCTAGAGACTGCCTGCCATATTTAGATTGATCCATTGGCAACTACTCATTGAGTCTACCAACCAACCAGTTCTGAATCTATCTGTATTATCTCATCTACTTTCTCCACAAAAACAGAATGAGATACTTTATCAAAAGCTTTGCTAAAAACCTTAGCCAACTACATCTACAGCATTCCTCTCATCTACAATTTCATAATCCTATCAAACAAGAAAGTGAAATTAGTTTGCCATGAAACTGTTCTTGATGAAGCCAAGCTGGTTTTACTTTTCCCCTTTCTACTGGCAATGAGCCGGTTCCCCCCTTTCTACTTTAATGAGCTTTTCTAGAACTTTCCCAAGAAGCAAAGTCAAGTTCACTGGCCTATAGTTTACACACTCTGTTCACTTTCTTTTTTTGAAAACCAGTACATTTGCCCTTCTCTAATCTTGTGGCACCTCTTTTGTTTTTCATGACCTTTCAAAGATCACTGACAGTGGGCTCAGTAATGACATCTGCAAGTTCTTTCAGGATTGTGGATGTAGTTATAGACCCGGCAACTTAAATAAATCAAGGGCAGCAAGAGACTCTCTTACCATCTCCTTACTTATCCCGGAGAGCAACACCTTGTTAGTCATTTTTGTTCTGTCATTTCCAGACATTCTCTTTTGCAGAGAAAACAGAAACAAAATAATTCCTTGGCTTAGCATTCAAGATCCTTCACAAAATGGTATCTATTTATCTCTCTATTTCCTATGGTCCTACACACACCCCATATTCCAAACCCAGTGGCCTCTATTTCTTGCTCCTTGAACAGGTCACAAACCTTCCTTCCGAAGTAGTTTTGTTCATGACATTCCTCCATCTTCCCATCTACCTCTGTCAAATAATACCCTAATTCCTCATTTTGATTTATGTCCAACCCATCCCCAAAGGAACAATTCAAGACCCACCTTTATTAGAATTTCCCCAATTGTCCCAGCTTACAGTGATCCTACAGCACTCACTCTGTGTCCTGCTCATTTCCATCTGGCATATGCTATCTTGTGTTCTTATTTATTTTTTGTCTGTACATGTCTTATCTCCCTAACTAGGAGTGTAAATTCAAGAGGGTCAGGCAACCTATTTCACACTTCTTAATATTCTCAGTGTCCAGCACAGTGCCCTACAAATAACTCAATAAGTATTTACTGGTAAAGATGATATGACTTGATAATGTTACTTTGAATTCCCTAAGCACAGACCAACTGATGATGGACAGGAAGCCAAGGGTAAGAGTGTTAAATCACAGAGATAAATGAGCCTGGAATTAAACATTTGCTATTGGGAATCCAAAACCGAGTAATTCAAGCTCAGAAAATCCAGAACAGAATATATTTTCAGTTCCTCATTAGGTCGAATTCATCCATCATGTATTTTTTTCAGTAACCATTTATTACAGAAAATAATCAAAACACATTCCACCACATCCTCAAGGACTTCACGATTTAGGTCTCTTGCTTAATTCTCATTAAGTCCCAGGTACAAGTATCAGTGCTTGCTTTCAGAACTGTTTCTGTGCACTCAGTTATTTCCCTGGGGCTAGAATGAATGCTCCCTCCCCCAGGAATACTGTGATATCAGCTGGCACTGCCATTTTCAAAAATCAAAATGGAATCTCAGTTTTCTCATGCATTAGTAGTACGTTTCTCTTCAAGTTTGTTTCAAAAAATGTAAACAAACAAAAAAACCCCTTCATTTATCCTTTAATGCTCTAATTGTGTGATGATTTAAAACACAAAAAGACTCTTTCAGGAGATCAGATGATCCCTAGTACGATAGCTTAAATGTTACAGAAGGTTTTTACTTCATACAGTAAGTTACTTTTTAAAAAATCCATGTCATATTTGAATCTGTGTGAAAGTGCACTACGTTATAACAGGATTCAACCCTAACTTTTTATGGGAAGATTTGGGAGAAGGAAATGCCTGGTTTAAAACAAACAAAAAAATCAAGCAATGTCCCATGAAGACTTCTGTCACATTTGGAGGTCTATCTACCAAATAAATTGTTCTGGGAACCTCAGTGAATACCAGGTCAGTTCATAAATCATGGGCAAGGTGAATGATGCTCAGCAAATTAGTGGCTGAGTTTTCCTCAGGCAGTAACAGAATTCTGACATACTGGTTTTTCATTTTTTATTCAAGGTTCTGAATAATGCTGCAGCATTATGTCAATAGTGGCTACCCCAGCTGTCACAGATGTCAATATGATCAGGTGCATTAAATTGCACAATCTGAGTTTGCCAATAGATCTCAGGTTTCTTAGGCCAAGGCTGCAAATATACTTTACACACTTTTGCGGTGCCGAAGGGGTACTAAAATGTACAGGACGGTAAACTAATGTAGGGTCATTCAATTCTTCCAGTCACAAGAAGGTCACAGTAGTTAGAACAAAGGGACAATACTGTCAGATGGTGTAAATGGCTCCAGGTAACACATGCTGCCCTCCTCGGAGGTCCTAGGAGTCAAGGGTGGACATAACTATTCTTTACAGATGGCATCACTACAGACTTTATTTTGAACCTATATAATGCATTATATGGCATTATATAGTAGAGTAAGGCACAGAGAGCTGGACTTGGAGGGAGGACCTAGGTTCAAGTCCTCCCTCTGACACATACTAATTGTGTGAACACAACCTCTCAGTGCCCCAGGCACTGCTACAGTTAACACTGTAAGGTACAGAGTAGGTTCTGATCTGAAGTGGCAGGGGAAGTTCCCAGATAAGGAGTTTTCCCAGGTGATTCAGGGGCAGTTAGGTGCCCTTAGGTGCCAGGGGCAGTTGGGTGGCTCAGTGGATGCAGCGCCAGGCTTGGAGTCAGGAAGACTCATCTTTGTGAGTTCAAATCTGGCCTCAGATACTTTTACTAGCTGTGTGATCCTGGGCAAGTCACTTAACCCTGTCTGCCTCAGTTTCCTCATCTGTAAAATGAGCTGGAGAAGGAAATGGCAAACCACTCCACTATCTTTGCCAAGAAAACCCCAAATGAAGAGTTGTATGTGATTGAAATGACTGAACAACAACAAAAAGATTATTAAACTACAGGTCTCTTTTGTTCCCTACCCCCACCTCAAAGTACTTATGATGTAATAATGTGATTACACCAAATTGTCTATATGTCATATTCCCTGGCTAGTCTATAAGCTCTGCGAGAATGGGGATAGTGTTTTCTTGCTGTTGGTCTATTGCTAGTAAGTGTTTGAGGCTTCATTTGAACTCAGGTCTTCCTGGCTCCAGGCCAGGCCTGGCACTCTGTCTATTGAGCCACCTAGCAGCCTAATAGCGTCTTACTCAGTTTTTTTATTTGTAAGAGAGTGGGTTGAACTAGATAAGAGATTTATAGCTAGACGGGACTTTAGACATCTTCTAGTCTTACCCCCTCATTTTACAGATGAAGAAACTGAGGCCCAGGGAGATTAAGTGACTTTCCAAATATCCCAAGGGTAGTGACAGATGCAGGATTTGAATCAAGGTCTCCTGACGTCAAAACCCGTACACTTTCCACTGTACCACACTGAATTTCCTTTGTGCTCTGGATCAACAGCCCTATGACATAAACTATGCACGTATGTCTCATCTATTCCCTTCATTGTACACAATAGCTGCTTAATAAACCAAGGAATAAACTAAGTTACTTGGTTAATAAGTGCTGCATCTGTTTGTAGATGTCTCAGGAATTCCTACACCTCCATTCTTCATACTGAGAGGCCACTCCATGTCTTCTTTCCTACCTTTCATGCCCATTTGACATGTTTGCACCATTTCTAGCTTATTCTGGGTGGCCAGGCCGCTGACTTATTTATTGCCCTTTGCAACCACTGCTGGCATTCACCATTTCCACAGATCTCTTTCCTGCAGGTAACCTGCAAGGTACCCACAGAGGTGAGTTCTGCACTTCAAGGATAACCAAGAGGGGACTCTACTTGGCCAGCTTTACCTATGAGCGCTGATGAATTAAAAGCCCTACCAAGCTTCCCTTGGGATTCTTTAAGGAAGCCATACTATTTTTTTTAAAAGAAGAATTAATGAAGATGAATAGCTATAATTTATGCTTGTGGAGATGAAAATGAAAGAACACAGCCCAGAGACCTGTGAGATTACAAATGAAATACCATCCAGAACAAATAACAATGAACAGTAATTTCTGACAAAATAATTTACCAAATAGCAGAAAACATAGAAAGGAGCTCCTAGAATGGGAAAGGTAAGGAAGGGCTAAAGATTGGGTTTCATTGGCCTAAAGAAAAGAGGGCTGAAGTCAAGGCCTGGGGAGGTTAGGGTTGCATGGGGGCTGCTGCAAATGTAGGCGAGGTTGCTGCATAAGTGACAGTAACCAGCTGTTCTCCCTTTCCACTGTGGCCAGGAAAAGACAGACTGGACTTAAATTAGCAAAAGAAGGACTCTGGTTAGAATTCACAGGCTCAAGAGGGTTGAGACACTAGACCATATCACTAATGGAAACGGCAGAGCCTCTTTCAAGAAAAAGTGTAGGCAGCAATCTCTCTGCGTGGTTTAAATGTAGTTTTCCCTGAAGGTAGAAGAACATAAGGGACGAACTCTCAATAATGGAGCCTATTTATTCCAAAGGAAATACAATATTTTTCTGATGACCCATATGATAAAATGTACTATGGATAGAGAGGATTAAGAGGGAGAGAGAGGAAGAATAAGAAATATCTATGACCTACTGACCTTGGAAACCTTGCCTTGTGATTTGGCACCACAGGAACTTGGCCAATAGTGCTTTCAGGAGGTTGTCTCCATCCTTGCCCATTAAGGTCCTTTTTCCAGCCTCCTGATTCTATGGTTTCTTTTCCTGTTAATCCTAAAGATGAATCAGAAATAGACAGAGTTGATAGGCAGAATTTTCATGTTTCACATTTATAAACTGGGTTTCAATGGGGATAAGTGATGTGACCAAAGTGTACATAAAAAATTATTGGGAGCCTAGGAGGAAGTCATCACCATCAAAGTTGAAATCCAAAATTTAAAATGCTCATTCATCAGCAAAAAATTATTAAGCACAGCAAAAATTTGTTTCACTGGTACATACAAACAAATGCCATAAAGAAATATTACTGATGAAGCAGTATTTTAATACATGGTTCCCTCTTGGTTGAGTAAATATCCCTTTCCCAATTATGGAAGTATTGTAGAAAACTAGAGGCGTTTACAAAAGAGATTCATTCAGACACAGCATAGCTTCAACCAGTGCCAGCCTTTTGGTAAGCAAAGGAAGAGTACTATATTGTCACTGAATTTATTTTTATTTGTTGGGGGGTTAACTGAACATAACTAACAATTACATAATTCTAAGAACTTTTCTGTTAAAAAAAACCAATGCCACAATACAACGGAATGGGGCAGCTAGGTGGCGCAGTGGACAGAGCACTGGCCCTGGAGTCAGGAGGACCTGAGTTCAAATCCGGCCTCATCTGAGGCTGTGCGACTCTGGGCAAGTCACTTAACCCCAACTGCCTCACTAAAAAAATAAAAAAAATAAAGTCCTCTCACAATACAATGGAACAAGTTAAATGGGAAAACAAAAGGGTCCCAGATTCTGAACTTAGGGCTTTGTCCCAGTTCTGCCACTAACAAACTATATGGCCTCTGGTAAGTCACTTTGCCTATCTGGGTCCTAATGTAGTGGCCATTCCATACACCTGTAATGCAGTCTGTTCTTACCCCTGCCTGCCTCCTAGAATTCCTTTCTTCCTTTAAGATGCAGCTAAGGCATCATCTTCTCCCAAACTACCTTCCACATCGGGAGTTAGGGGCACAGTGCCCCATGATCTGAAAAACCTGTTTAAAATTTTTTGGCCCTCCCTTCATACCAGAGAAGAAGTTTGAATTTTTTCTTTTTCTTTTATGGGTGTTTACAGTAGCTTATTGTAAATTTTAGGTTAAGTATTTGGTCATAAGCTCTGTGTTGCATGCTGGCCTTCTTGTATCGTCTGTGGCTTTCACAAAATTCCCCCAAAATTCCCATTTAATTTCTAATGCTGACCTGCAATATATTGAAACCAGGATGGGGAAAGTCACAATGTACTTTCAATATGTTTGTATTAATTCAGTTTATACATTTGCTGTACATATATGTATATTTTGTAAGTATTTCTTGTTTCTCTCATTATAATGTAAGCTTCTTTCAAATAGGGATTATTTCATTCTTTATATTTCTATCCCCAATGCCAAGCATAATACCTAGGACATAAGTGCTAAATAAATGCCTATTGATTAACTGATTTGTACAATGAGAGGACTGGCATAGAAGATCTCTGAGGTTCCTTATAACTCTAGATTTTAATGAATCTATGATTATTGTGCATTTTAGAAGGCAATTTCTTTCTGTACCTACTGTTGCCTAAAAATTCCATTTCACTTGTAACATGCATATTTTAAGCAATGGCCTAATTATGAACATCAGTTGCTGCATTATGTCATAGATACAGGTACATTTTTCATGGGGCATGGGTCTTAAGGATTTAGTCCTTCTACTTCATGCTCTTACAAGTCGAGACAGAAGTCTGTCTTGTTTTCACCAAAGTCCAGGCTGGATTCAGGAGGACCTGAGTTCAAATCCGGCCTCAGACACATAACACTTACTAGCTGTGTGACCCTGGGTAAGTCACTCATTGCCTAGACAAACAAACAAACAAAAAAAACCCAAGAAAATAAAACAAACCAAAGTCTGGGCCCACATCCACACAATAGAGATGTATTCCTATGCTTATCTTCAAAGACTATTGAGAGGAAGATGGTTATTTGCCCTCTCAGATTGCAGAGGAAGGAAGAAAAAAAAAGTATTTATTAAGCATCGAATATATACCAGGCAATGTGCTAAATGCTTTACAAATATTGTCTTGTTTAATTTTCTCAAAAACCCTGGGAAGTAGGGTGCTGTACTTATCCCCATTTTACAGTCAAGGAAACTGAGGCAGACAGGTTAAGTGACTAGTCCTGGATCATACAGTTGGTAAACATCAGAGGTGAGATTTGGACTCGAGTCTTCCTGACTCCAGGCCCAGCATTCCATTCACGGCACCATCCAGCTGCCTCTAGAGTTGTTTTCTCCTGCTTCTCTTCTTTATTGTCACTGTCTGATATTTTCATCCACTTCTGATCTACAGGCCTTCTTTGAATCATCACCACTGCCTACGGTTGCCAATGCTGTTAGGTTTTGTTTCTGCTACTCTCTTCCTTCTTATCTCCTTTCTTTTTATTTCTTGCTTATACGTCTCCTGCTGCTTTTACTCTGCTCCAGAGTAAAAATAAAGTTCTTTGTAAATATAGTTGCATCCTACGTTTTAGATTTGAAAAGATCCTTAGAGATCATCTATGTCTAAGCTTCTCATTTTACAGACAGGGAAACTGAGGCTTATCAACAAATAGGTCAGACTTTCTATCTGCTTTCTGTATGACCCCTGGACAAGTTATTTAACTTCCTGGGCCTCATTTTCCTCATCCGTAAAATAAAGGTGTTGGATTAGACAGATTCTAAGGTTCTAACTCTACAATCAATTCGTTGATCCACTCTATAAAGTAGATACTCCTAAGTGAAAATCACCTTCTCTTCTTAACTCCATGGACAGCACTTTGCACCTCTTATTGGATCTTCATATTTTCTTTGAATTACAGTTACCTCCATACATAACCTATATCCTCTCCTATGATCAATCAATCAAATGATCTACAAGCATTTATATTTATTAAGCACTCATAATGTGCCAAGCATTGTAGTAGGCGCTGGCGATCCAAAGACAAAAAGGAAGAAGACCCTGCCCTTAGGATGCCTGCATTTCATTTGAGGGAGGATAAAAATAAACATAAATAAAATCTATAAAATATTATACAAAAATAATATAAGGGGGAAGGTAGGTGGATAGAGCCCTGGCCTTAGAGTCAGGAGGACCTGAGTTCCAATTCAGCCTCAGACTCTTGACACTTACTAGCTGTGTGACCTTGGGCAAGTCACTTAACCTTGATTGCCTCACCAAAAAGCAAAACAAACAAACAAATAAAAAGAATACAAGTTAAATTTGGGGGAGGTAGAAGGCATCAGCATCTGGGAGGATTTGGAAAGGCTTCATGGAGTCGTCACTTGAACAGAGCTTTGAAGGAAAACAGGGAAATCTAAAGGTGAAGATGAGGTGGGAATGCATTTGAGGCCTGGAGGATGGCAAATGCAAAGGACAAAAGAGATGGAGAGTAGAATGCAAGGAACAATATGGAGGCCTACTAGGCAGGACCATAAAGTTTAGGAAGGGGATTAATGGCTTATGGAAAAGTGGACTGGAGCAACATTGTGAAAGGTTAAAAAACTAAGCAGAGGAACTTAGATTTGATCCCAGAGACAATGAGAAGACTTTGGAATTTACTGAAGGTGGGGTATGTGTGTGATATGGTCAGACCCACAATTCAGGAAAATTGCTTTGGCAACTGTGTGAAAGAATCCTACAAACCTATGAGTTTATGAGTCTATGACCCTGTGATATTTCTAAGGGTAGAGGTTAGGCAGGGGAGGACCTACTCTGAGGAATTCTGCTTAGAGACCCAGAATTTAAGTGAACGCCAAGGTGGAAAAATGAATAGCACACTGCAGCAAACCTTTGACTAAACTTTTGGAATTCAGCCAGTTTTCATTACTGAACTGAAATTCACTGGCAAAGGACCCAGGCCACCTTTTCTTGACTTGGGCTATGCCTCAAGAGGGACTGAACTGAAAGCAGATGTCCGTGAGTTGAAAGTGAGTTAAAGAAAGCTCCGTGTTCTCATCAGGGCCATGTGCCTTACTATGAGATAAGAAGCATGCCCCATATTCATAAGGATGAGGCAAAGACAACACGTTTTTCTTTTCATTTGGAGTTCCCATTTTTCAGGCCTCAAAACCTGGCTGACCCCTGGCACCACCTGTCTTACCCCTCTGGAAAACTTTTTTTTTATTTCTCTGAAAAAAAATCATATTTACAACTTCTGAAAAACTGCTGCCCCAGCCCCAACCAGGCCTAAAAGGCTAACCTACTGATTTAACTGCTTGATGTGTGCCTGAAGTCTAATTTAAGCTGAAGTATGAATCATATTTTTAGTGAACGACTCGTGCCCTGTTCACATGAGGCTTGCAAAGTTGGTCCAAAGAGCAGCATTTAACAGAGTCCTAAGTTCAGGCTTATGTGAGTCATATACTTGTCGGCAAAAATCTCTTTCCCTAGGATTCCTAAGTCTGTTAGCAATATACAAGCAAGAGCTAGAAATGAAACAGTCATATTAAGGCATTTATAGGTAAAGGAAGTGCACTTGAGCAAAGAGGGGACTGTTTCTAAATTAATCAGTCCCATCAATCAGCTCTCAAGGGTTTATTAAGTGTCTCCTCTGTGCACAGAGCTGGCAGAGAAAACCTTGGCCTGAGATCTGAAACACAAGATAAAAATAAGGGCCAGTCCTTGGAACGTAGGCCAAAACATTACAATCACCAGGTCTGCACTTTGGGAAACGACCCTTGTCTTTCAGCACTACTACATACATGTAAGGTCTGTGACCGAGTTCAGGTCTAGGTTGAAGAAGCATTTGAGACTCTTGTTTTGGCCTGGCCTCTGTGCCTTAAGTTGTATGATTAGACCATAGGCTAAGAGGAGTCTTCCTCTGGTGTTTTTTTCACAGTATGTGACCCATGCTATCATCAGCATCATTTTTAGGTTTGACCCACAAAAAATACCTCATATTGGACACAGGAAGCACAATGAAATACAACTGGACGTGTTCAACTGGAAAGTTCTGGAGCTAACAAATAATTCCTGAATCCTCGACACAATGGCCCTGTCATACCTG